TATTTACAGATGTCGCGTGACTTTAGCTACTTTCAGAGGAGATTCTCGCGTAACGACGGTGAAAGCTAGTGATTTTTATGAATTCTTTTTACACTAAATACTGGTTATATGGGACCAGACCTTTTTTGGGATGTAAGTACAGCCTCGAGGTATCAGACGTCTTAATTTAAGCTTTCTGATGCGAGAACGGAATTAAATCCGTGGTCCAGCGTGTCCAGGGCACGCATTGCCCGGCTCGTTACTGCTTCTTTCTTCGTAGACCTCGTGGTGGAAAACGTGCCAGCCACAGGAACTGATTGAGCAACCCACTATCACGAAATGCTCTAGGGACGCGTCTACAGAGTCACGTGTGCCTGCACGTGGCGATATTCTTCGACAGGGGAAGATTTATTAATTTGAGAACTGTATAATGTGTTATTCATACATTCTCCCCATCCTTATGGTGTATTTCTCCGATATGATGAAAGGAATAAACGATCGCTCATTCTCTTCGCATACCTTGCTCTTCAGTATAGTAGATATTTGCTTATAAATAGGTAGATATTTCCTTATAAATATGTAGACATTTGTTACGTTATAGCGTCGCGTTTCTGAATTCCTAAATGTGAAAATAATTAATGACTAATGAGCGATATCGGATATGCGGAATCCTAAAATATCCCCATTTATGTAGAAGATAAAATTCTCATAGCAAGATTGACCTAAATCGTAAATACTTCAAAAAATCGGTATCCTTCGAACGTCAAATCCGAAAATACCAAATGTCCAAAAAGAATTTGCATAGTGGGTCCACTAACTTAGCTCGAGCTTACAGTTCTTGTCAGTTCTGTTCATTCGCGTCGGTTCTCTTGCGCAGATGGAATTCCTGCACATTCGTAGAAGGGAATGCACCTCTGGGTTCATCGATAGCGTAAACAACGATGATTCAACGCTTCATCGTGCCACGAGTTTATTAGATTATATATACTAACTTGACTGATCGTGTTGTATATATGCAATTAGCAGCAAGTGGTCGGTGGCTGCGTTTGCCATTTGTAAGCGGTTACGTAAAGGGCCTCTCTTCGAGATCCGAATTATGTAACGGTACCGTTCCTTCGATATAATCATCGGCTATCCCGTGACTCGAGTGATTGATACCGAAATGGATGCGTGGATCTCAATTTGCTTTCCCCTGGTTACCCGATGAAAACCGAAACTCCGCCTCGAGCGTCGAAACAATTACGTTTTAGCCGTCAACTTGACGAAATTGCGTCATAAAAATGTATCGAATAGCTCCGAGTGTGCCGGATGAATCGTTGTAAAAAACTGAAGAAAGAACGCGCAATATATTTTTTTAACGAGTGTCTCTGTTATCCAGAAAATCGAATAAAAAGCTGGGGGTTTGCCCTATTTTGGTGACGCCATTGCAAAGATGGCGCACGTTCAAGCTAGTGGCACGCCTCATACTTTTAAGCTCGATTTATTTGAAAATTACGATTCCTAGAGAAAAATATTATTCTATATCTTTCGTTTAATTTTTTATGCAGAATCGACTGCTATTAATTATTCGAAGATATTTTTGGCGTTTAAAGGATTAGGCTGTGAAATATGTGAATGGTTAAGAGGTGCTTTGAAGAGGTTGGAGGAGTTTGAATACAAGATTCTTTTAATTTGACGCTTTAGACGCCTTGTATTGGAAAAGCTGACGTCGTTAAGGAATTTGAAGCGGCTGCAAGTAGCCGTTTTCTTTTCAGCGAGCAACAGTCTCGTTCATTCAATTGGCAAATGTCGCAACGATGTGCGAGAGCCACTTATGAAATCACTGATGAAACCACGGTTTTTCTCTGTGACTTGGAGATAAGGTTCATTCAAGATTCTGAATTCCAAGTTGTACATCTTCTTGTCTGTTTCCCCGATCTTAACCTATATTCTTCGATACTTGAGTATAATCTGCGCGCTATAATTTATCTTCTTTCCTTGTACAGTTTAACAGGAATCTATAAGGTGGTTCCAAAGTCACGATACACTTGAAAAATACCTAACTTTTCGTCTAAGAATAAGTCGAAAAGTAGAGTAAAAATTTTCCAATATAAGGCATCGTTTTTTCTTTTTTTTTTTTCTTTTTTAATTAAAAATGTATTAAATTCAATTAAGTCGATGCATTATCAGTACAATAGAATTTTGCACGGATATTGAATTATATCATATCACTGTATGTGATAAGACTTATATACTAGACGTTATTCTGCTAGAAATCAACTCTTCATGATAAAATTCATAGTAGTGCACAAAACTTAATAAATTTCATATTTATGCGTGTATAATATTGCATACAGTGTGAGTTGTACAATGTGTATGCGAGTGTCGTGTGAAACGTTTGTCTGTGTCTGTTTGTTCCAGAGCACAGTAGCAGCCAGATAGATGGTAATCGATCTGACCACCCTATTCGACCAATAGAGTAGATTGCGTTATAGGAAACGATACTGTCTGCTTTTTATCACGCGTTTCGTCTTCCATGTGTCGCCGTTCTACTGTATCACCTTACACGCGTTCCAGAATACGCGTTACTTGGGTGTCCATTAGCATTGACAAGTTAACTTTTTTAATAACAGGTTTTAATGGCTTGTATTAAGGCTGCCATATAGCTATTATTCACTTTTTGTTTTCCTAGTCTGTCTTATGACAAATGATGCAATTTTTCGAACATCAATGTGTCTAACAACTGGTATGTTGTTATATTCAAACGTTCACGTGTTCAAAGTACTAAAATACCAAGATACTAGTATACTGGTGTATGCAAGCATGAAAGCATCGATCCACGAAATATACTATCACGGTACTAAGACACTAAGGGAGTGATTATTGAAATATCAAAATATTAAAATATTAAGAAATTCTTAAATGGAAAAAACAACATAAAATATTAAAAAAATCTGCAACGAACTACTTGAAATAATTAGGTAAAACCAACATTACTAAATCAGTGCACGACCTTTGGACATTATTAAAATTCGTACTGTTTAGTTTGCAAGACTCTATCGTTCAAGGTCATTGAAAAAGATATATATACGTATATATCGCTTAACGTAGTGACGTTTCGCTTTTAACATCAACCTTACCAGGCCCGGTCAAATGACCAGTTCCAAAATTTAATTTAAGATTGTACATTCATTAACATATATTAACGAAAATTGAGAAACTGATTAATTAGATAATATAAGAATTTATATAAAGTTAGATGAACGGAAGGAATAGCAGTGAATGTATAATTTCAAATTAAATTTCGAAATGTAGTTTCAAATTAAATTTTGTAACGTAATTTTAAATTAAATTTTGAAATGTGATTTCAAATTAAATTTTGGAACATAATTTCAAATTAAATTTTGGAATATAATTTCAAATTAAATTTTGAAGTGTGATTTCAAATTAAATTTTGAAATGTGATTGCAAATTAAATTTTGGAACATAATTTCAAATTAAATTTTGAAGTGTGATTTCAAATTAAATTTTGAAATGTGATTGCAAATTAAATTTTGGAACATAATTTCAAATTAAATTTTGAAGTGTGATTTCAAATTAAATTTTGAAATGTGATTGCAAATTAAATTTTGGAACATAATTTCAAATTAAATTTTGGAACGTGATTGCAAATTAAATTTTGAAATATAATTCCAAATTAAATGTTGAAACGTAATTGCAAATTAAATTTTGGAACATAATTTCAAATTAAATTTTGGAATATAATTTCAAATTAAATTTTGAAGTGTGATTTCAAATTAAATTTTGAAACGTGATTTCAAATTAAATTTTGAAATATAATTTCAAATTAAATTTTGAAATATAATTCCAAATTAAATTTTGAAATATAATTTCAAATTAAATTTTGAACCCGGTCATTTGACCGGGTCTGATCAAGGTAGTGTCAAAAAGCTACTTGCAAGCCACCTTTAAGCCACATAACGGTCAGATTGTTATTGTTAGCTGGCCATGAACTAGTTCAATTCCATTTTGAGGTATAAAATCCAGATCGAGATTAATTCGATAATGTTGTGAAACGGCCACGATGATAACGGCTGGCATTGAATAGCTGCATGTCATGTGAACATGAAAGTGTGGTCGGTCTATGTTTGGGGAAGCCCCGGGGAATTTGTGCCACGTTTCTTTCAAATGCATGCTTTCGTTTCGTACATATTGGAGAACGTTAAGAAATTTGTGTCGTTCGATTGTTTGAAGAATATCGTCTGCTGTAATTGTTATGCAAATGATTTTGTAAAACACGAACTCGATGACTGAAATATCAATGAGAAGAAAAAGGATGGATTGTGCGCATCGTATGTCAGGAACATGTATTTCTAAACTAGAACTGCACTGTGACAATAGCTCGTTATAAAATATAATTAGAGTATTTTCTAGAGTATTTTCTGTACAATTCTACTGTAGTAATATTCTTGTTAATATTTCAGGATAATAACACTTATAATTAGCGTTGGATTATTATGAGAAACGAACGCGTGCGTGTGAGTACGTGGCAAGAAAAATTATTCAACATACTGAAAACAAATTATCTTTACACGTAGACTGCAGTATAACATAGTAAATGACAGAATGACATAACAACCATTTGTTTAGTATGAGTGGACAGCGATATTCTTTTCTTTTTTTTTGTTACTAACGGTTAGCTTTTGAAGAATTCAGTCTAAAATATAGGTATGCCTTCTTCGAATATAAATAATTATTCCAATAAAGAATTATTACATCTTCTAATTTATTGCCTATAATTGGTAATCATATTTGTCATCTTCATTCTTTATTTTATATCTTTGTAACGACATTTAAAAGGACATTTATGAGGCTATATAAGAATTTTGTCTATATCAAATACCAAAAAAAAAAGGATCTACCAAATTTTCTACAGCTTCAATTTTAATTTTAATTTCAATTTTCTTAGAATAAAATATTCCTGATTCAGTTGGTTCAACATCTTTCTAATGAAAAATTCCTTCTTTTCTATTGATTTCCAGGATTAGAGAGGAGAGGCCATCCAGAATGGTTCTAACCGTGACCGAGGACACGCCAGCAGACATGCTAGCCGGTAGCATGGAGCTCCTGGTCCAGTTACCTCAGGAGCATCATCTTCAAACGCAGAGGGTCACGGTGCAGAGAAGGTACACTACTCTTTCGAATTCATCTTTCATATGTACTTGCCCCAAAAGTGGGTGGCACGTCTAACAAATAGCAGCATCTTTAAAATTGAGAAGGACCGACTTGCAACGATTTAAATAAATAAAATTAACGCATAATTTCATCATAATCAAATTTCTAAGTGAAAAATAGAATCAGGTGTCATTTTTGTTATTTTCATTTTATAAGAAGAATTCTATGGATCTCTAGGAAACCTAAATCTAGGGACTCTAGGGATTCTAAATCTAGGAACTCTAGGGATTCTAAATCTAGGAACTCTAGGGATTGTAAAGAACTTGGGGAATCCTAAGGAATCCCCTATTCCTCGGCATGTTTGTCAAATTATGTCACTTTTGTAGCAGGAATTTAGGTCTAAAACATACTTTGCTATAGCGAGCATATGAATTAGGGACCTTCTAAGGAATTCAATTTAATTTAGTTTGTAATTAGCATTGGAAACAAAAATTTGAGTTTAATAATCAGTTTAGATTAGTTTAGCCCAAGCTTATGCAATTTGCTTTTGTAATACACCTATATAAGGTTTGTCTAACGGTGTAATATGCAACTGACAATGAACAGAATCATCCTAACCGCCCTGAAATTAATTTAACGGTCCAATTAGCAGATTAATTCGCCGATTCCTGGAACCTCCAGGCCATAATGCCTGTAATCATTGTGTTATTGCAGCGTGACGCTGTTCAAATTACGACCAGACGTTGTTGGCGCATAATTATGAAACGTTCTCCTCTTGTTCAATCACTGAGATCATTCTCATTAACATCATCTAGAATCTAGAAAGTTCACCCTTCATTTTTGCCCGATTTAACTTGGTCAGCTTGTTGCTAACAGAAAGCTCTGCAGACAGAAACCAGTTTATGCAATTGCAGGAAAGCTGAAGACATAGAAACACAAAGAAATATTGAAATATCAAAGAAAATGTCCAAAGTGAAAGGAAATGTTCCTTATACAGTGGAGCCCCTTGGTAACCAGAACCTCTGTAACTCAGAAACCTCTGTAAGACTACAGTTTTGTTCATTTCCTTCCGCTCCGCTGCGAAGACCTCTGGAAGTCGAAATAAAACTTACGTCAACTCGGATTATTTGTCACGTGTCCACAGAAGCTAATCGTTTTTCGTCGGTCGAACGCATAATTACCATCGTCTATCGCTTATGTAAATTTTGCATTTATGTACGTCGAGTAAAACGAGTTTCAAGAGAAGCTTAAAACGTTAAACGCTTCCCAAAAGCGTGAATGTAATTATACCTTCGTGCGAAGCTTCTGTCCGTCGAAATTTCGTTTGTTCAACTTCTTTTGCTCGAAAACTTAGGTAAGACAAAGCCTGTGTAATTTGAAGATTTCGGCTCTTCCCTTTAGGTTCGAGTTACCGAGGTTCGACTGTACGAATTAAATTCTAGAATCTGTCTTTATTTAGTTCTACTCAGAAAAATACGAAATTCCCTGAGAATCCACGCAGCCAATCCACTAATCACTTTGCAGTTACTTCTCCTACAAATTTACTTTTGATTACTCTATAATTGTAGCTAAAACTACGTAAGCTATGAGAAAAAAAAATTCCCTATAGCGCGATCACGCAGTCGTTAGAAAAGCAAATAAATCACCGGTTTCTCTTAATTGACGATAATTCTTCGATAAAAAGCTCCTGAAATATCCAGTCATTTTCCCTGTCCATTCTACTCGAGAAAATGTAACCTGCTCCATAGTGCACTTAGGCTACGAACAGAATCTTTATATCACGGTGCTTTCTAGAGATGCTAAAAAAGAAAAACCACTAGAAGGAGAAATTCAGTCGACTGTTTCTTTAGGATTGCTTTTTTCCACTTACGTATTGATCTCTATTCGGTCTTTTTTTTTCTCTAAATGACGTTTACTCGATCCTCGTACTTTCCACAAATTCGGGTCGCCCCATGAAAATGGTAGCTGTTGAAGAAACAATACTCTGGAATCTATCAAAGAATTATTTGTTGACTAATGATCCGTTTACCGACGCGAGAAAACGTTTCAGTTGAAAGAAAGTACCCATTCGTTATTCCATCCGTGCTGCGAGTAGTGTTTTCTCGTTCTTTGTGGTCTACGCTTGCTATTATTACCATAAACTAATATTTTCTTAGGCGTGCAGCCTTTGTAAAAGTTGGAAATTTTGTTGGACAGGCAGAAAATGCAAAATCGTGCGCTTCGGAATATACAAAGCAGCTTTAAGATAGCGAGAATATTCAATGAAACAATAGAAATGGTTTTATTGTATAATATACTGATAATATAGTATTAACATTATAATATAATATAATACAGGCTAAATATAATATTAATAATATAATATTCATTTTTATAGAAATAACAAAGTTTTTTAGAAACAAAGAAGTGCATTGAAACAGCCATAATTACGTGAAATAAAGACACGTCTAGCGAAGGAAAGGGTAATCCCCAAGGTAGCCATATTTGAACAGCAACGGCGCATGCGTTAAGAAAGCGCGCGCGCTTTAAATTTCAAACTCGGTTTTCTCAAAATCAGGCAGTTCTCTTCAAAAATGTCTGCGTTGTTCCTTCCTTTTTGTCTTCGCCTCTTTGTAAGCACACTATCATTGTAATAAAATTTCTATCATTGAAGTAAAATAAAAATAATTTTAAATAAGAATGAAAAATTCAGGTGTAAAAGTTCAGAGACTAATTTCCTGAGACGTGTCGACGCAATATCGCGGAACGACATGGCATAATGTGGCATGGCTTATTGCTTCCTTGGCGTGCAAATTTTCGAATTCTAAACGATTCCTCGGATTTCTTTCTGTTCACAGTATGCCGATGATGGACCTCCTCGTGCAGATCGCCACGGCACACAAATTGACGGCTTCTAGCTACACTCTGCAAGCGATTGGAGAACGTGGAATAGTTCTACCTCATCAACCTAATACGCCAATTGGTGCATTGGATGCACTTCAGGTATTACAGCTACATATGTTAGGAAACTATAGTCTGTTCAACGAGTCGAGATATCTAATAGCTATAAACACGTATGCTCGTGGTTGTACTTAACCTGTTAACTGTGGGCAGTCTAGTTCCTTTACGGCAAAGTAAGTAGAAGGTTAAGTATCGAAAGTATTTCAGTTTAATACTAACTTACCAGACCCGGTCAAATGACCGGTTTCAAAAATTAATTTAAGATACATAATAATAATAATATAAATTATGGATCTATAGAAAAATAACATACAAATTTTTTAATTTGTGATTTAGATGTGCACAGAAGACAGCAGCATATGAAGCGGTGCATCTCACACTTTTCTGCGCTCACGTCGTTCGAAAATCGTTCATCACATATAAAACAGGCCACATCTCGATCTTCGTTGTCTCTGGATAACTCTATTGCGAATTTCTTTCTGAAACGCGCGTTCCTAATTTCGTCTCTTGGGTATCCATGTAGAGGAACGAAATTAGGCACAAAGTCGTATACTTCTTAATGTAATTGTCAGTTCTAATCGATAAGCGACAGAACGAATCTACAGAAAGATTAGAAACGACCAATTCCGTCGTCTTTCCTGTCATTAAAATATAGCGGCATTTTTATTTTAAAATTCCAATTGTCAGACTGAAGCACTTAACAGCAAAGATTGATCAGGGGAGGAGATTTAGGCTCTTTATTATTATTATATTACACATAGGTCGTGGACTTCTCTGTAATTTTTCAGATAATTTCTCCCATCCTCGCAAGCTCTATGGGCTTCTTTCTTGGGTGGAAGATCTCAACAGGAAGTTGTATCAAGAAGAGTAGAATAACTCTTGAGTCTGCAGTTTTTCTGCCTGGGGAAACGAAGGGTTAGAGTTGAGGAAACGACTTGGAATTCCATGAATCGTGCGATCCTTAATCTCTAAGAGACGGTGTAGTTGTTTTTTTCTGAAGACTACTTCTAATCTCTTCTAATCTTGTAGAATTACCTTGCCGACCTCTAATCGGAACTGTTCCGCTGCACGTGTCTGGTGTCTTTCGAGAAGTCTCGACCATTTCCTATGTTTTTCTCAATTAAACGGAGAAAACAAAATTTAAAAATTGAAAGAATAATTTATCGATGGCAGAGGAATTAGGAAACTTTCCTTTAATTACTCATTTTTATATTCATAATCTCAATTAAGGGTATATCGCTGTTTCCATGAAACAGAGAAGTGATTCCGTGTGAGAATGAGAAGTGATTCAATTTATTTTTCAAGTATAATTCCACTATACAGCATAGTTGATTAATATCTATAGTGTTAAATGATCTTTCAATTGTAATATTAATTTCCCTTTCAATTTTCATATTAATTTTCATTCCAATCTTAATATTAATTTTAATCGTGATAAGTTTATTAAAGAATAGGGATTCTATTGAAAATTGTTCTGTCTTTAATGTTGCAGGTAAAGCTGCTACCTAAGCAGGGCACTTTTGTACCAAGAAAATCGAAGCAAGTTAATCAACCGTTCGAAACCACTTTTAGGCTACAGGTAAAAAAGAAAAATATGTGTATTTAATAATCTAGTCATATACTATATCAGAGAGCCAGCGAAATTTAAGAGTCCAAGTATCCTGTAAACATTTTCTTAAGACTTCAGATTTCAACATGCTAGCCTTATTGTTCCATTTTCTATATCTGATAATTTACCAAGTAATCAGCGAGCACTAGAAAAAATCATGATTGTGAAACTGTTGTAGGTACATCTACCAAGAAATCAACTGTGGGTGTCCAGAGTCAGTCCGAAGATGAATCTAGGCGAGATCTTGGATCAAGTGTGCCGCGAAAAAGATTTAGATAAGAACAAGTATGAACTGCGTCATCCGGGTAAGCAACATAAATACGTTCCTATAATTAACAAACTCGTAGAAAAAAATAGATAAAGATGAGGAAAATAACAAGATAAGTAAGATAATAATTAGGGCAATTGAAAACACATATACAGTTAAATTAATATTATTAATAGATTGTATAAGGTACAAGTTAACAATATTGACTTGTTAGTTACTAGGACTCTCAATTTCTTCTATATAACAACTCGTTTCTGGTTATAGATCTATTTTCCAATCCATTATATCTTCATTATCTGTTTACTGAATTCAACAATCTTAATTGGATAGCAATAGGGTCTATATCATCGAGGAATCTATGCACTAACAAGAGCTAAAATTAATCTAACTAAAATTAATTTGTCGTTGTTAATTTTTCATTATATAATCATAAAAATTCCTGATTCAGAGATGCTTTGGTTAACAAATTAATAATTTGCTTGCACAACAACGAAAAAACCTATGATGGCATAAATAAAATTGTAGAATTAAACTTTCTAAATGACAAATTAGTCCATTATCTGATTTTGCTTAAGATAGTAAAATTGAAAAAGGAAAGTTTATTACCTATAACTTGTAACTTTCTTTCTCTATTAAGTCTTTAATGCCATTAGTTGATGGATTACTGCTCAAATGATACATGATTCAAATGATACCAGTCTAAAATTTCAGCAATAGTAACTAGGAACGTTGACCTGAAGCTTGTTAAAGGTTTAGCAAAGGTATCAACTAGTGGCGAGAATTGTGTTAAGCAATTAAGACGTTTACATAAGATTTCAAGTGGAGATTTATTATTTGAGGTTTGCCCACGCAGAGAACAGTTTGATAAGGCTGTCCCAGATGATTGGTGGATATTCATTGCCCTGGAAAACGTAGCTGGGACGGAACTAGATTCGTTCATTTGCGCTTGATATTTAAACCGGTAGCACTGGCCAGGTTACCTTTTTCAAGATATAATACCAACAGGTTTACCTGGTCAGTCGATCATATTTTTATTAACGCACTTCTTCCTTGAATAAGCAGAGCATTATTGAACTCGTTGTATAACTTCATCGTCTTTTTGTACATAATTGAGGGAGCTTTCTGGAAAAAGGAAATCCATGAGACAAAATTGTGGATTGAGAGAATAAAATTAGAAGTCTAAAATTTTAAATAACAAAACCTCTTATTAATGATTGTTTCTGTCAAAAATTAAATTCTTTGCATTCCAGCGTTTCTTTACCCTAGAAAACGGGATTCCCTATCAATTTCTGAAAACCAGTCAACCAAATTTTTTTAGACTGTTAAGGGATTAATGGAATATGGTTTGGATTGAAATCTATAAGAAGGTTTTACAGAATTTAATAATATTAATTATTTCGATAATAGTAATTAATCTAATCTTTTAAGATTCTATTGCAGTGGTTATTCCATATACAGTACTAGTTAACGCTCACGTGGCGCTAGTGTAGCACCACCAGTTGCCATAGCATTAAATTACATAAAAGGAAAGAATTCCTGAAAATATTATTTCGTATCAAATTGCGCGCTGTGGCATTATTTGCGTGATGAATGTTAGCATCAATTTTCAGAAATAGATATCAGATTTGCCAAGAAGTCAGTAGCCGTGCGCATCGGCTGGGTTTGCTCAAATCAATATGGCTTCTGAAGCCATCCAGATCATCTATGTGTATATATATATATGTATGTATGTATACACGCATGTACACACACACATACACACACGTGCAATAATGTCCTAATTCAATTTTCTTGATATTCTGCATTCTTGTTCACCAGACGGAAAGTCTTCCTAACAAGATATACAATTTTAGGACTATGCATCTGATTTCTCCTTGTTTTTGTAATCTGAACAAACTTTGGAGGATATTTCTTGATATTATCGTGTATATTCGCACAATTCGTGCGTGGTGATCTTGAACAAACTATCAACACTTCAGACAACTGCAAATGATGACTTTCTCTCAGAGAAGATACGTCATTACTTCCTGCAAAAGACAGGAATAACACGAGAGCCTGCGTATTCAACTTCAATTACTTTTGCCATGAACCTCTTGGTTTGATTCATCAGTTTGCAACTGGGTTTGCTCTTTTCTTTGTAAGAAACTGCACCCTTAACGTAGATCAGTATTAGAATTTCTAAAATATTGAAAAAGGAAGACAGAAGCTATTAACATTTAACAAAATTTATATAGGAACTTACACGGGGATTTTAAAGTTTCTAAATTATGAAGGAGAAAAATTCTACAATTTTTTTTTTACAATTGTTTTACTTTCATGTAGAGATGTACCATGACTATGTTAAAGCAGTGAAGATTAGAAAGAAGATATTAAATCTTTTGATCCTTCCTGGACCAAATTCTTTCTCAGATAAGAAAAATTACTTTTTTTCTTAGTTATTAATAAAAAAAGAACACACTTTTTAGTAGTTTTATAAAGGAAACATAATGTATTAAAATTTGAGACCTTTTTTTTTTAAATCAAACAGTAGTAAGTAGGGGTTTAATCTACCCTCTTAAAGCAGAAAATAATCTTCGCCATAAAGATAGCAATTTCAAATGAATCACCCTATAGATCATCGACTGTAGAATACCCTACTACATTCTAACATAACCAGATTCGCTGGTAAATGGCTCGGCCATCCTCCATAGCCTATTCTCGATACTATGAACACCGGCGGGAACTCCCCGATTATATATCTCGCGTACTTACGCGCCGGTGCACGAGATATTTCAGTTAGCTAGTTACACCAAGCCAGTTGTGTTAAGATCGCTATCGCAAGGTTGCCGGCCGACTCTTCCACTTGTTACTCCTAGTCGTTAAGCGTGCATGCCTCGCGTTGCTCTTCGGGCTCCGTCGTCCCAGGCTCCTTTACACTTGTTACCGATCCCTTGGACCTGGAAGAATCTCTTTTTGCGCTCCTAAGCCGCGCCTCAACTGGAATCTGCTGTTTCAAGCAATTGATTCGAGTACAAGGATCTTGATCCACTTTGGAGAATCATTGTTAATGAAGAGAATATTTTGAGGTACTGGATATTCAAATCTCTTTTGGTCCACGTTTTATTGTATTTCCTGTATAGGAGCCTTTTTATTGGAGGAAGCATATATTCATAGGATATCTTCATCCTTTACTGGAAAATAATATAGTAATTGGAATATTCTCTTTATTAGAGGATTGCCTAAGATGTGTTTTGGAAGATCATATTGATGGGAAGAATATTGTATACATTTATTTTTCTGTGTAGGTTTCTTTGTATTTCTTGTAATGATGTAAAGAGAATTCTTTTTATGAGGGGAATTAATTCTTGGTTAATAAAAAATCTACTGTGATTCATTGAAAATGCTTTTTACGTGAAATAACATTTGTTGAACGATATTTAACGTTGAAATAGTCCTTGACAATTAATTTTCTAAAAGAAAGAAATAAAAAATTCAAAAATTGACTTTCTTTGCAGCAAGCTTGGAGACACTGGACCTGTCGCTGTCATTGCAGGATTACCATCTTCAGGAAGTCACTCTATACGCCAAGCAAGGTAGATCACTAGGCTCGGCACTCAGCACTCAAGATATAATGGCTCTACAAAGGCAAGAAGAGCGACGTAGGCAACAGGCGAAGCAAGGTGTCTTTGGATTTGTGTTCAAGAAATCTAAGGAGGGTTCCTTGAGTACCGATAGCCTCGGAGGACGTAGTGCATCACCAGCGAGGAGTGATGAGACTGGAAGAAGCACGAGTCCTTTACAACCGCCTACCAGACCTCAGAGGAAGCGGAGACCCGCGCCAAAGCCGCCTATTCAGGCTCAGGCAGACGTTAGTAATGTTAGTAGAATTGTTCTGTATACAATATTCTACATCCTATTGTCTATATGTAAGAATGTTATAAAAATGGACAAATTAATGACAATTAGTCGTTCGGAAAAGTATTATGCAAGACTGTCTTTTTATACAATTAGCAGATTATAAATTTAAGTCATCTGTTAAAATTTAGCATAATACTCTATATTTTTCGAATATTTGTTTTTGATGTTTATACAATTAAATGATCTTAATATAATACATAAAGATTAGCAAGCGTCAAAATATTTCTGAATATCAGTATAAATCTTATATACAATTAGGATAATTTTAGCAAAGAATATATTAAGAATCGTTACTGTCATCTTTGGAAAATATACCGCTAACTATTCCAGGGTACAGAAGAAAATTGCGCAGACTCCAGCAAGGACAAGGTAGTGATCAGTCACAGTCGTAACAGCAGTGACAGTTCAGGCTACCACGAAGCTTCTGTGTTAAGTGACAACCCAGATTCCGCTGGGAGACTTCCAGAAACGTTGCCCAGGAGGAACAAGGTTCCACTGGAAATGCCCAGAAAATTAGCTCAAACATCACAATCCAGCAAGAGCTTGAGCAATCTGACTTCTGTGCCTGGTACGCTTAGTCACGGAATTAGCAGTACCTCCTTAAGTTCCACAGGTCTTTCTTATGTTATATATATATATTATGTTACATATAGATCTTTCTTATGTTATATTAAGCGCAGGTTTCCTCTTTTTAACTTCATAGTTTTGTTAGTTGTTGTTAGTTTAATAGTAAATCTTGTTTGTAAATGTTTTTAGTAAAAGAAATAATAGAGTAGTTGTAATAAATATAATCCCTAATGATGATGATTCAGTTGCTTTTTCTCTCTATCAGATTTCCCCGTTCAATTTGTTAGTTTTATTATAAATTAATTATTAGAATAAAATTATCTTCCCTTGCTGTGCTATTCCAAACATCTATCAAATTATTCGTATCAAATTTTAAAGAAATTTTATTGAATTTTTCTAGGATTACGAAAGAAAAGGGTCGCACCTCCTCCGCCAGTAACCAGACCTCTGTCGTCCGCCATCTCCACCCAAGCTCTGGAACGCATAGTCGACTCCGAAGAGTCTCTAACGTCAGACATGGATCCTTCCAAACCTCCTTCCGACATCAGTGTCCCTTCCAAAGCAAACTCGGACATAGAAGAGCGTCCAAAGGCCAGCTCAGACATCGGAGTAACAACACTCGGCTCAAAACTATCCAACAGTATTGATTTCACCAATCCAGACAGCTCGAAAGTGGAATTAGAATTGAAGGGCAGCAAATGTGATATTGAACCGCGCCACAGATCCGGATCCATAAACGTTAAGTTACCTAGCACGGAACCAGGGCACCCTGCACCCGTAGAAGACGCTCCTGTAGATTCTAGATTGCCGCGGAAGAGAGGTAAGCTAGTACATAGTTGCAGTAGTATAGATGATAACTTCCCCTCCTATAGTTTCGTATCTAAAAATAGCTTTGAGAACGGAAGAGATGGAACAGATTTTGTCGAACAACGTACTAGTCTCCTTGATCCAGAGAAACTTAAATTACAGGCCAAAATTCAAGAATGTAAGGTCGAACGTAGGAACGGTGAAGTACCTATAGATTTTAACAACTCCTTTCTCAGGAATAGCTCTGTCAGATACAAAGTTAGCTCTTTAGAATCAGAAAATAATTGTTCCTCATCAAGGTCTGAATTGCAAAAGTCTCAGAGCTTTGTGTGTTCTAATATGGTCACTCCAAAAGCTAGACAATGGGCGAAGATGCGCTACCTTCCTGATAGTCAGGGCATTTCTAATCAGAGTTCGTTTAAATCTCAGAGTAGATTGGTTAAGATGCAAACTGTAGTTAATTTAGATAATATAGGGACTAATATCGAGGACATACCAAAACGTAGTATTTTAGAAGATAAATCTATTCCTAAGAAACTGCATTTGGATAATTATATTTGCGGGGACAGGTGTCAAGCTAAAGCATTGAAACATAGTTCCAGCTTTCAAGTTGGTTATAAATTAAGGGAAACTAAGATAGTAAGCGCCTTTGAAAAGCCAAAATTGTCAGGTTCTAGAAGTTTCTGTTCCAGAAACAAGGTTTGCGAGTCAATCGAGAGTAGACAACCGAGACTAGGAAATGTTAGTACAACAAAGTGTTACAATGGTTCTATTTCTTCTAGTCTTGATGAAGATATATTTGAAGGTTCAGTGATTGATAATCGTAGATCCAATCTTTCACCACCTCCATTGAGTAATCTCCAGATATTTGCAATTTCTACTAAACCATTGGATATTCCAGTGACAACCATAGATTCTGTGCCTAGTGATGTCGATAAGTTACCTTCTTTGCCTATTATTCAACACAGTGAATGTAGATTGGAGTCTGAGAAAAAATTGAGTATCTTGGAACCACCTCCTCCAGGTTTGGTCAGTCGAGAGGAGTCGACAGAAAACTGGAATAGATTCTTGATTCAATTGAATTCGATATTGGAGACCAGGGCTGGAGAATTCGTTTAGATTTTACAGAAATATGTTCCATCCTTTACGACTCTATGTTATTATTAGACTACGGATTTTTATGTATTTAAGTTTGCGTATTTTTATGTATTTAAGTTTGCGTATTTTTATGCATTTAAGTTTGCGTAAATTTTCGCAATCTAGTTATTATTAGTTCCCCGAAGTGCCCGAATTAGTATTATTTGAAGTAGACTTTGCAAAAGACTGGTGACTATGTTATTATCATTCCAAAATTTGTACTTATCTCATTTTACTTTCGTTATCATAAGATGTAGTAGTTAAGAGATCCATCTTCTGTAAATATACAATACTGTCCAAAGAGAAAACTATCTCTTAAATAAGATTAGAAATTTCGTTTTGCATGTTTGTACAGAATTGCATCCTTATATTTTCTACTCTCTCTTAAAGGTGACCATATTTACCTGCTTGCTAACTAGATATGTTGGTGATGGCCTATTCTTTTTCTTTCCCTCTGAGTACAGTTGGAGAACCTGTTCCACTTCCCAAGCCTAGAAAAGCCGCCACAATACGGCCCGAGGTGCCAAAACGCAAACTAAAACCGCCCTCCCCATTGAGTAGAACCCTCAGTTCAGACTCCAGCTATGTAGACTCCTTGTCCAACGCTCCTGCGCACTCCAGTACTGGGAGTTTTATAACTGACTCAAGTTCCAATTGTGGAAGCTCCATCAAAGGTGAAGAGAAACTGGATGTCTGTTCCAACTATTCTACCAGTGAGGATGAGGTGTTCATGACGCCAGAGCACCTGAGTGAAGCAAGCTTTGATTACAGTTCAATAGACTTGGAGGAAAAGAACCAAACTAACTCCACAGATACAGCTTTAAATAACGATATTGATGATGGAGTTAATGGTGAAAGAAAATTAAGTATAAATGAGGATAAAGTAAATGAAGCTTCTTTAAACCAGGATTCTACAATGGTAAGAAGTGAACTAAGTACAGTATCATCAAAGAATTCTAGCCAAGAGAAGAAACTCTGTGCTGTAATATCTACCATGCCAAAGTGTGACCACTTGAGTTCACTGAGCATCAAGGATACAGTTAGTCAAAGTAAAGAGTGGGAGGGTCTGAAAGAACCAAAGAAAGCCAGGATTCCTCGAACAGCGTCAAAGTCCAATGATTTTGAGGTTAATGCGTTAGAGAAGCAGAAGAGGCATTTAACTTCTCATGCAGAGGATATCACATTTGCCTTAAATTTGAATGTGAATCCTAGTCTGCTGTCTGACAGAGATCTTGTACAGCAATCGAGGGAGGAGCAAGATACTGAGTCTCAGGATGTGGGTGGAGAAAAGTCCCCTGTTGCAGTGGTTTCATCAGGTGCATGTTGCATATCATTAATGTGTGTGAGAACTTCGTTCCAGTAACGCAGCTTTCAAATAATTCTCTATGCTCAAATCACTTTAAATGTAAATGACATGTTAAAGATTTTAGACAACATTAGAAGTGATTTAAATCATCATCAGCTCATCTTCACTAATGTAGTTTCTTATATACTAATATCTAGATTGTGGATCTTTATGCATTTATGTCAAATTTGAAGACACAAAAATTCTTAATTAGATTCATAAAAATATAAAATTGTATAAACATTAAAAATGTATTATTGTTTTGAAGTTTTTATGGTTAAGGAATTGTTTGATGTCTTGTAAATGGTGGTGGAACATAAAAAAGGAATAGTAGTCTCACTTTCATGAGGTTTCTGGTTTACTTGCATATTTTTAACTACTCCATGGAAAGATAAATCCTTTGAATTATTTTGTATCATCGAATAATTCTCTGATCTTTTAAAATATTCTATTACAGATACAAATCTCTCAGAGACTGACGTACTGCTTCAGAAAGTATCTGACACTTTGTCCAACTCTCTACCTGTAGCATCATTCGATGAAGTACCAGTGTCTCCAACAATAACTAAATTAGAGCCAACAAACATTTCCAAAGAAACAGACCAGAAAAACAAAAAGATCTCTGAGTATCCCAATGGTTTTGATGTGAACATCAGCTCGACAAATTTGACTGTAAACTCTCAGCAGGACACGTCAGACTATGTATCAGCAGTCGATGAAGATTTATCCGTCACCGACTGGGAATATCAACTGCCAGCTCCGCCAAGTGCCTTCAGAGACTCTGCTTCTCCTGTCTTCGATAACTTCGAAGTAATCACTCCTTCGCCTGAATCATTCAGAGACACAGAAATCACTGAATTAACCTCAACTTCAGACCAGAAAGATGGAAGGAATATTATAGAAAAGGAAGAAAGGCAAGAAATTGAAGTTAGGAAAGAGACTCCACTTGCGAAGTCCTTCATACAACAAAAGCCAGAGTCTAGCATGAAGAAGGAGGTGATTTATGAGCTCGAGAATAAAATAAGTACTTTGCCTCAGAATAATATGTCTCAGAAGGATGTGGATTCCAGGAGGTTATTGAACCCCTCAACTCCCAAAATTTCCCCTGTAGATAACACATTGTCAAATTTTACCATCACAACATACAGCAAGCAAAAGAACCTGAATATATTTGAAGAAGTAGAACAGTCTAGAAAGATAAATTCTGATGAGAGATTTATCAGATCCTTTGCGACTCTGACAAGGAACAAGGGCAATCTTGATGAGAGTGAAGATAAGAATCTGAAGGAATTCAGTGTTGGAACATTGCAAGGGAAGAGAAAGGTAACCATGGGAGAAGATAAGTCGAGTGAGACAAAGCTGGAACCAAAGATACAAACAGAATCCCTGCAGAGGTGGCAGTCTGGCAATGAAAAGAGCAATATTCAGAGATCCAAGAGCTACATATCCATGTGTGACAAATCTAACCTCCAAGGAAATATATGTGAGATTGAGAGTATCAAGAATGAAAAAAATCTGGAGATGGACGATAGTGGAATGAAAAAAGCAACGAGCATTAGTAACCTGAGCGTAACTGCGACTAAAAACGACGAGAAATCCTCGCAGTGGCGGGATAATATTCTGAAGCGGCCTACCAAAGAAAAGCAACTGCAGTCTGTACAGGTAAATTACCTTCCAATTTGAGATTTTTTATAAATTCTGATGAGAGATTTATCAGATCCTTTGCGACTCTGACAAGGAACAAGGGCAATCTTGATGAGAGTGAAGATAAGAATCTGAAGGAATTCAGTGTTGGAACATTGCAAGGGAAGAGAAAGGTAACCATGGGAGAAGATAAGTCGAGTGAGACAAAGCTGGAACCAAAGATACAAACAGAATCCCTGCAGAGGTGGCAGTCTGGCAATGAAAAGAGCAATATTCAGAGATCCAAGAGCTACATATCCATGTGTGACAAATCTAACCTCCAAGGAAATATATGTGAGATTGAGAGTATCAAGAATGAAAAAAATCTGGAGATGGACGATAGTGGAATGAAAAAAGCAACGAGCATTAGTAACCTGAGCGTAACTGCGACTAAAAACGACGAGAAATCCTCGCAGTGGCGGGATAATATTCTGAAGCGGCCTACCAAAGAAAAGCAACTGCAGTCTGTACAGGTAAATTACCTTCCAATTTGAGATTTTTTATACAATCTTTATTAAAGTTTCCCCAGTACATTTTTTTTTTTTTTTTTGTAAAATATATACATTTTTTAAATTGTCCCTTCTTTGTATTCATAGTAAGTGATTTGTTCTTAGGTGCTAAAAAGCATTTTGCCGCAGTTGAAAAATGCTCAACAGGCGGAGGAAAATGTGCCCAAAGATTCGAGTGATATAGTATTATCTGAAAAAACGAGGTAAATTTAACATTTTTCCTACTTCGAAATTATTTTATACTTAAATAATAATTATTGACTAATGTATTCATTAGATCCGAGACTACCTCTAACGAACATTCGACCGAATCGAATGAAGTTTCGACTCGTGAACCTCAGACAGCACCAAGTAATAAGAAAGTAGAACCAGAATCAAAGAAACCAACGCCAGAAACTAATAAGAAACGATATACCTACTCAGGACCTCCTATGATCAATTTAGGCAGTTGGTCCGAACGACCTAGTATTAATGTCCAGATAAAGAAGGACATTGACTACAAATTTGGAGTCAAACAAACTAACAGCACTACCATCGTTAATATTAATAGCTCTAAAGATGAAGTAGACTCCAATAATGTTGATAGTTCTACCAAAATACAGAAGAGTAAATTTGAATTTTTGGATAAAAAGGAGCCCAGTGAGTTAACCAAGAAATTAATTAGTCATACAACAGCTACAGGATTCAAAAAGCTAGTACTGAATAAAGTTAACAACTCAGAACCAAAAGTCACTAATGATAAACCAGTTGTAACAGGAGTTGAGCTGAAAAAGAGCTTCCTCGAAAACAAACAAGATGACAATGTGATAGACACTACTCCAGTAAATTTCAAAGAATTAACAAAAGCATTTGGTCAAGATGTTTGCCTGCGACCAAAACCAAAAAGGTCCAGTACAATTCAACGTTCAGATTCTCAGTTGGAAAACGATTCTAGTAGACAGAATGGACATAGACAAGATCAGTGTTTAATAAATGGCCACCAAAATATTAAACCTAAGAGGTACTCTTCGATAGTGGGTATCCAGAATGAAGGTAACCTGACATTTCGAAATGGCCTAAGCATTAAAGGGCACCAGCCAATGCCTGTTGTTAAAGGGTTTAAGATGTCAAGTACAAAGATTGGTGCAAGTCAAAGTTATGAGAACCAAACTAAAGAAGGCTTCAAGGAAGAAATGAAAGAAGATAATATTAAAGGATCATCCAAGGATTCAAATGGTACACCAAGGCCTCCTACTATGCCCGTGATAACGGGTGTGACTTTGAAAAGTGCCAGACCTAAGTCCATGCCCATTCAAATTGACCAGCGAGACGTTTTGCTGGAATCGATTAGAAACTTCGGTGGTCGCGAGAATTTAAAAAGCGTAAGCATTTATTAATCAGAAAATCCATTACGAAGTAATGGGAATTGAATAATAGAGAAATGCTCCCTGATAAGAAAATTATGATTCATAAAGTGTGGTAATAGTAAAGGAGAATTTTTCCTAGAAATGGGAGACGTTGAATGTTGAGAACAATTTTCATAAGAAGAATTTTGAGTTAAATATTTTATTAGAGGGCACGGAACTTAACGTTAAAATTGCCTAACATGAAAATTTATGGTTACAGGCTATGGAAAGATGTTAGCTGCCTTTCAGAAAGTAGGAAACGTTCTTGACACGAGGATAAAATCGGAAAAAGACTGGCGACCGAGGATATATTGTTCTCGAAGAGATATTCTGGTGCTTTAAGTCGTACAGCCTTAGTGATAATACAACGTTTGGCAATTATCGGCACAAAAGAAAGGGCAAGAAGAAACTATTTATGTATATTTTTTAATCACTATCGAAGGACCACTCACATCTGCCCCGTACTTTTGTCAGTTGTCAAACCTGACCTCTTCGAAATCATTCCATTGACGGTTTGCTGGCTAATAGTCTATAAAAAACAGCCACGTTAGTCGTCCACGTGTAAATACCGTGTGTAAAAAGGTCGAGACAACCAGGAAAAAGAGTTGTCAATAAAAAAGAAATCTGTCAATGATGTACATATCGTTTAGCTGTTTAAAGCGATAAGAGAAATATTTTATTTTCGTGTCCAAATAGTCAACGGGCCGAGTTAGGTCCGTTTTCGAAACATTGTTGCTCATTATATGATGCAGTCCACGCAATTCTTGTTAAGTTTTCTTTTTTTTTTCTTTTATTAGTTCAATCAGCCATTCGGTCCTAACCTGACCTAAAATGAGAAAAGAGGGAATTGAAGATAGGTTAGATCTGAACGGTTGAGTCAATGTTGACTAACATTTCCTATTCTTTACGATTAACATTAAGTTTCTATCACTGGGACCAAAGGTGACATCATTTATTTTACATATTGTACAACGAATTTAGATGCAACTAGGGTGTGTGTATAATTATGAAAGATAATCTTTTCTTTTCGTTTTTTGAGAGAGAAGGAGAGAGAGAAGCAATCTGGTCAGTCGCATAGGTTGAAAATCATAATAATGAGATATATTCATTAATTAGTATGCATTAACAGAGTTCAAAGTAAGTTTTAATATGTGTTAGTAGAAAACAACGAAGGATTGAAATACAATCGATTTCCTTTTTTTCCTTTTTTGCGTTTACATTTACTGTTAATTAAAAAGAAAAGAAAATAAAAATTTGTTTTTGATTATTAACAAGGTTTCGATAATCATTCGGAAAAAGTATATTGTATTTGTTAATATGATATTGTCGATATTATTCTAAAAGGATTAATTAGACTATTGTGTTTAAATAACAAATTTCAGTATGTATTTGTTTTATAGATTATGATCATTCTGGAAAAATATTTTTATGGCAGGTGGCAATCACCATGGAAAGGTGTATTGTATACTGTAAATATCATATATGTTAATACTGTATTTAATATTATTTTTCCTTGCGTAAAAATATATTACGGCGACACTTCTATTTATGTATGTTGTTATTTATAGTTCCATTAAAAATGAAAAAAAATTATTGATTTTTATTCAGCGAATTGCTTCAGAGGCAACTCTGAATGAATAGAAACTGTAAAAATAATTATTTACACAAAACGCTTTATTTCTTGAAAAAATACAACAGTACATATAACTAAAATTAATTGGTCCACTTTCGTTCAACAGTTTTTATAAATGCACTTTATATAAAAATAGCACCTATCATGTTTTACAACACATATCTGGCAACTCATATAAAATCAATTTCAAAAAATAATTTGCATCTTATTTTCAACGTTTAAGCCTTATAATATTTAAAATATTTAATGTACAAAACACCAATACCTAAAAAAAAAAAAAATACTTTTTATGCAACTTATCGACTAATATTATTTTTCTCTTAAATATTGTTACTGTGATGGAAGATATGTATTGCCACTGAAGAATCACAGATTCTAAGGTTAATAACATGTTCAAATAACAACAGGTACTGCTTTTAAACTTTTGCAAACAATAGTTATAGTTTGTGCTCTTAGATATTGCGGATATGATTAATCGTTAGGTATGGGGGCATTGCAATTTCCATGCCATAATTTTGTTTCTGAATCACACTTTGAATATTCTTCAAATATATCTGCATATCCACGGTCCCTCCACCATGTACACAGCTGCCTATTCCATCCACAATCAATAGTGTGAATTAATTCAGGTTTTTCCATTCCTAAGATGGTATAAAAATCCTGATCTCCTAAGTGACCCTAAGAAAACATGGAAAATGTAACAACTTTGCAATGATAGTGTTAATCATTATTATTATCACTTAAATGACTTTCAACTTGACTTTATGGATAAATTATTGTTATATCCTTTACCTTAAAATGATATTTCTTTGTCATTGCATCAACACTTTCTCTTTTCACAATTGCATCATAAACAGAAGAATTCCTTAATTTGTCAAGGTTAAAGAGTACCACTCCACTGTTATATCCACAATAACCACCTGAACTCGCAGGTTCTCCAAATAATGTGTTAGGATGTTTGCTACGATACAAATACAAAACGTGTCTGTAAACTGGAGTGAGCTCTGGGGCCAGACCAAATAGTGCTTGACTTCCAAAAGAGTTGAATTCTTCAAAAAGCTCCTTGATGTCTTTGCGGAATTTGGTGTCAACATCAAACATTGCTGCAACACTTTGTTCAGCTGGAGCTATTCGATGTAAACCTAGGGATAGGAAAAATAATGCATCTGAATAGTAGGTTCCTGGTTTGCTGCTGAAGTATGGAGACATGACAGACACAATGTCTTCCAATTGCAATGCTAGTTTATGTACATCATAATATTGCACCTGAAACAAAGGAATAAACAAATTGTAAAATCTTGTAAGAAATATAATTTGAGAAGATCAAAATTCTAAACAAAATTCTTCTGCTTCACCTTCATAAATTTGCCTGTGGATGAGAGAATATTTGCCAAAACTTTCTCTGTAACATTTTTGCTATCATCATCAGTTATAACGTGGAATGCAATGTTAACAGAGGATAGTTTGATTAAAGACTCTGCAAAGATCTCAAATTTTCGTCGCATTGGAGAGTTACTATCTACTTTGGTGAATATACACCAGACATTATAGTAATCTTTTTTATCTGGAAAGAACACTGTCGTCGTAATGGTATCTTCATGAATATTTGTCGACTCGGTGGTCGAAGCATTTTCTTGGACTCTGTGCAGTATCCAGCGTGTACCATTTGACGTCTGATAGCAGTAAAACAGAACAAGAATCACAACTAGGAGCGTCAAATTGATCAGCACCTTGCTTAACAGGAGCATTTAATTACTCGATCATGTTCAAGTTCCCTTCGTACACTCCAAATGGCTACAGTTCAATATTAGAAAAAATTTATTAAAACTGCAGATGATGTATTTATACTTCACTAGGTTATGTTATTGAAGTTTGATAAAATGTTAGGTTATGTTATTGAAGTCTATCAAAATCATTTAATGGTGGTCATACTATAGAACACATAAGTAAACAAAAAATATACGTTCAATATTTATTAAATTATGAATGGGTAATTAATGTGCAAGAAAGAGGTCACAAGTTATTTGGAGAAAATAAATACTGAATGTAATACTGCAATCAAAACAATACACTTACTGATGCGGTTGTTTTATTATCTGCATCAAAAACATTGAGCGCTTTCTTCTTTGTCTTGCATAGTTCATGATACGTTATCCCAAATCTTTGAAAGTCAAAAATAAGTATGTATTACACAATTATAGATCCAGTAAAATGTTATTTAATATTGTAAATATATCTGGGAAATAAAATGTTTGCAATATGTTTGTTAGAGTAAAAAAAATGAATTCAAAGTTCAAATTTTCCCGCTACTCCAAGGTTGTGGACATAACAGTTCCTGCAGTGATAGCTAGATGGCGCTGAGAATACATTATGACGCTACATAAATTAATGCTTAATTTCAACACACTAATATTCAAAATGCTTTATTGAAAGCAACAATTTCGAAATAGTATCAATTTTACTGCAAAAGCTTATCAAAGTATGAATTAGGGTGCATTAGCTTCTTCCTTGAAGTACAATTTTTAAAGATATGTGTTACCAGATATTACAAAGGTATTGTAAACGATTAAAATATATGTATACAATACAAAATGAAAAAAATTCAACCAATCTTTTACCTTAACCACAATGATTAATAATCTTCTTTACCCTGCTCATAATACAAAAACGTTTAATTCTAGAATTATGTTTCAGTTTTTAGAAAATGTTATTGGAACAAAAAAAAAGATAGACTAGAAGAAATTGATAAAAGATTTATTCTTGAAAGAATTGATTGACAATGGAAGATAAATAGAGATTGGAAAATTTTCAAGGACACCAGTCTGACGAACTTGCGTTGACGAACCTGCGCCTTTTTATACGTATTATCTCCCATGCTGAAATGTGGACCAGCAGCCTACCTGTCCTGTGCAGAAGACCTCTCGCAGTATTGATCACTGCGGGAGGGAAAGGCACGTTGGGGGATAGTCGATGAACACGTGGCAGCAGTCGAACTTTTAAGTGAGGATTTTCACTCCTCACACACGCAAATAGGATCAGAAAAAGTAAATAAAATAATGTTTATATATATATATATACATATACGTACTGATATTAAAATGAACAAGATTGTTAAAATGAATGAATTGTTAAATTAATGAATATTTGAAAATATTGAGTTTATAATGAATAGCTGCAGTATTGATCCAGCTTGGTTCAAATACAGATTTTGTTATTGAGCAGGTTTTGCATGATCTTGAATTTGTATTGACCTCTGAAATTAAAACTACATAATGTTCCTAATTAAATAAAAGCTAAGTTTAATTTTGTCAAGAGTAGTACATAATTAATTCTTAGTATCATTTATTTTCTTTATCGAAATATTGTTAGTATCATTAATTTTCTGTACTTGTATTTATCAAACTGTTGGTAATCCTAAATTTAAGTTCTATTTCCAAAAAGAAAGATATCAAAGAAGTTATGAACTAGTTAACCAGTTAACAAACGCTACCTCTCCAGATATCCTCCATTCCGTACCCTTTAAATCCAAAGCATATTTTGTACCCAGAGTTGGTTGATCGTGGTAGCAATGGGAAGACGTTATCGAAGGAGGCGGTCGAAGAGGGTGAGCTATGAAGGAGCGGTACAGAAGGGAGAGACGAGGAGAATGCAATCAGAGGGGTTGATAATACGAGCAAACCGATAGGAACCGACCCAAGAGCAGCGTAATGGTGTTGGTATATAAGGCACGAGCAGCGAACGTCTGCTCCTGACAGCCCATTACCACTGTACAAACGCTAGCACAGAGCTTTGGGAGGATGGCGAAGCTTCTCCTCCCTCCCAACGTCCCGTCCCTTTCTGCGTCTGTTTCCCTCCTCCAGCTTCCCGTCGCTCTTCCTCCGCTTATACGACTTGCTCGTCCTGGGGGAAGATGCTGGAAACTGCCGAAGAACCAGCGGAACTTCCGCTATGATTTCGTCGAACACGAAAACTGCTGTCTCTAGTATGAGAATAGGATGTTGTTTGGAGGTTCTGAAATGTTTAAGAAGTTTTGGGTAGTAAATGATAGTTTATATTGAATTTGAGGTTGAAGTTGACTTTTGAAAGCTTTAAGTTTGGTATTTTGAACCTTAAAGGAATAGAAGGTTAATTTTAATAAAATTCGTTGAGGGGTTAAGGGAACAGAGTTAATATTAATAATATTTTGGGAAGTTAAGGGAATAGAGAGTTAATTTTTTGGAGTAGTAATAATCTAGTAATTTGTAATCTTTTTATTTTAAAAATTGTCATAAAGAAAGGATTCTCTTTATTTAGCATTAACCTTTTGTTCATTTAATTTATGTAAATTCTTATATTAACAAAAATTGTGAAATTAATTAATCAGATAATATAAGAATTTACATAAAGTTAAATAAACTTGTAAGAAATAACAATGAATGTACAATTTTAAATTAAATTTTGAAACCGGGCTAATTTGACAGGGCTAGGAAGGTTGGTGTTAATTGATACCTACTTGTTAAATATAAGGTTTGTTGTTTTATGACGACCATTCATCGTTTTATACAAGTTTTAGACATCATAGCGAAGCATAGGTCTAATTCTCGAAGAAAGTTATCAATTTCTTCCCCTAAAAGTAATTATATCTAAAAGATCCTTTAAATTCAATATTTGCTACTTCTTAATCTTATTACGTTTTCACCACAAACGTTCAAAAGCTCCAATCTCCAACTTTCCCTGCTGATTTACTCTAATTTGCCATTCTCAGATACTAGAAAACAATCAATTAAACCAAATATTCCGCTTCCTAGTCTAACTTTTATCTTTTTGCAGGAACCAGAAAGAGGTTATGTCACGCGAAGCGACGTGTAATCCGACGAAAGGCAGGCAGATCTTCGTCCAGAAAGAAAGCAGAACGTGTAAGAAAGGGAAAATCCGTGCGGAATCAATTCGCCCCGTGTATCCCGATGCAGGGAGGGTGACTGGTGGTTTTTCAAGGGTGGCGTTCGGGCCACGCCTGCCGGCTAAGCCACGCCCGTTCACGAACCTATCCCCGGAGGCTGTGTCGAGGACCGAAGGGCTAATAATTCACGTCACGAGCACACCCCACCATAAAGAGTCAGCCACAGCCGTGGCGCGTCGTATATTCGGTATTAGCGTGCCGTATGAACGTTATCCAGCTCCAGTTACTGTTAATTACCGATCATCTTCCGTAATTAATTGCCTCCTCGATCGATGGAATCTCTTGGCTGTCGACACTGTTGGTTGCTGGATATCGATCCCGCGTCCCCAGTCTGTGCAAATCATTTTCACTAGGTTAGGTTATGGAGTACTCCTGGGAGGTTATAGAATATTGCCGCAGAGCACTATTGATATTGCAATAGAGGTATTTTTTCATATAGTTTGTGTATTGTGAAAGATTTATAGTCGAAGATGTTGAAATTGAGAAGAATAGTGAGAGGATATTGAATTTTGTCATTTTTGAGGGTTAGGTTTATAATTATCTAGGTTGAAGGGCAACACCAGTATAAATTTTAGCTCTTAATTAGAATTTTGGAATGTTAAGATAGTATATATTGAGATAGTGGGATGTTCTGCTTAGCTTAATGGATTTTGATGGTAAAACAGAACATTGATAAGGACATATTAAGTTGTGCAGATTCTTAGAAAAGATGTTGAGATTGCATGCATGTTCAGATTGAAGAAATTCAAGAATATAAATAATATTAAAAAATTAGAAGATCATGTAATATGGTTTATACAATAAGAATATTTTAATATTTTAAAAGAATATTTTAACTTAATATTACCAGAGACGTTATGAAAAATGATTCAAGCAAAAGTAAGTAATAAATGAAAAGTATGGATAGAATTATTTGCAGAATGAAATAAAAATACCACGATAGAAATAAATTGGTAAAATATAGAAATTGCTGAATTAAATACTCGTTTCCATTGTGCGTGAATGTGTTCTGGTCCAGCGGCGGTGTTTTAATTCTGAAAATCGATATCATCTTTTGTCATTTATTATCTCGCCAGGGAACAAGATCGCAACGATACAGGCTGGAGTGAGGTAATTAACTGGTCTGACAATTATGTAACATATTGACTCGTTTACATCCGGACGTATTTCATCGTTATTTGATAATCCATCGTCATCATGAAGATGATTGTTTTTGATGTGATTGCGAGTCGAACCTTCAAGCATAATTCAGGCTTTTGTAATTTTGCAATTTTCATTTTTTAGTGACAAAATTTCACATCGTGTTATGAAAAACAATTTTAAAGCAAGTTTATAGGAAATTATTTGAACAGTTAAAATTTCAAGTATATATTACTTTACATTAACATTTCATATAGAAAATAACACACAAAATCGTAAATTAATTTTGTTTATTATATATTCAATTAAGTTTGTATGTTAAAAATTTAATTAGTTTATTGATATAGAATATTATCTACGATAATATTAACTGTTACAAATATTATTACAATATTATTATTTTTTAATTTCATCGTCATTTTCATTAAATCAGTATCAAATCAATGAAACTGCACAATGATAATAGAACTCACTATAATACTCTAACTACGAACAAGAACGTGCAATCTATATTAGTACAATATTCAAATAAGTTCTCCTAACAACCAAACACATCAATCTCCAAATCTCCAATTTCATCGCTCCAAGAAATACATCAAATTTGGTATTCAATCAAATTGAAGGTAAAATTCTCAAGAGTTTCAATGAAGCAAACAAATCGGTTGAAAATCGGTTACAGGACGTAAATTCACTGAAAGGAATCGACTTTGTCGCCGGTGCGGTGGTCGACGGTGTGCCCCTAAAATTAGCCACAGTGACATATTGAAGAGTGCACCGAAGCGGGCGGGTCACAGTGCCCCATGAGCCGCTTCCCCCGTCTGCTATTAAGCACAAAAGCGGTGCCCTGGGAAAATCAACTGACGCGTAACTAAACGGTGTATCATTAATTCCGACGTGTATGTTTATATCGACAGCGTTAAGCAGCATTTGCACGGCCAATTTTCCATGACGATCATAGTACCACTACAATCTTCTGTTTTTTTATACATCATCTTTACTTTCTTCGTCACAAAAAGTTGTTTAAAATGGTCGAAAAATTTTCAATGAAGACGTATCAAACAATCGTCTCACAAAAGTAGCAAAAAATTAATAAAGCAATCGATAACAACCAGAAACGTTAATATTCTCTTCGTACCTTTTACGTTTCCTGTCTCATACCTATTCAACACTCACAGAATGAAATTCATGTCACTCGTTTCCTCTTTTTTACCTACACGCACTCTAGTTAAATTGAATCGAACTAACTCTGTCTCTATTCCCTGTGTTCGTTTCGTCTTGACGCCGTCTTTCACATTCTGTCTTCACTGACACCGAAACCGGAGCTCTTCCTTTTTCCGCAACACTCTGTCGCGACGAACGGATACCTTTCGTGCCAATCAAAGGCCCTCCATCGCCGAAGGTGAACGCCGATAACCGGTGCTGAGAAATCGACGTTTCCGCTCGACAGCTTCAACGCGTGCGAACCATCGCACGGATTGGTGAATTTCCAGAGGTGAAAAAGCAACGACAGAGCTTCAATACTGTGGAGTCATAGTCAATTCCTCGTGTTTCTGTTTCAAGCACGTTTTAATATACGCCTCGATGATGGTTTCATGCGCAGAACTGAAGGAATTGTTTGTTAAGATTGATTTGACAATGAGCGGGGAAATGTAGATGAGAATTCTGATTATAAGTATTAGAGAAATTCAGGTGAAAAGTAGTTTGATAATATTTCAGTCACAGATAGGATAAATTTGGGAAATAGGAATTGTTCGAAATTTAAGGTTAGAAGATTTAAATAAGATTAGAAATTGAATCATATTTAATTGGAAATTAGGTTAAATTAGGTTAGATTAAGTTACTAATCTTTAGCAAAATTGTGTCTTAATAAGAATTTAACGTTGTATAACAGGATTTATTATTAAGTCAGAAATCTTAGCTTGAAACTAATGTAGGTTATGGAAAGTAGAATTTAATGGAAATTTAAAGTTAACAAAAATTCAGGGAAGCTTTAAGCTTAAAAATTCTTGAGATTACTTAATTGTAGATAATAGAAATTAGAGCTTGATAAGAACTTAAAGTTATAAAGAAATTCGACAAAGTCTAAGATTAAAAGCTTTTTTCTTAGCTAGGTTAGAAACTTATTGCAGATTATGGAAGGTAAAACTTATTGGAATTGAATATTCAAGCGTAAAAGAAACAAAATTGAGTCTGACCTACATCAGAAAAACTGATGCCTATCAAAACTCTAGTTTACAATATTAAATAAATTAAAAATACCTAAGATTGAGATCAAAATAACAAAAAAAAGAGGTCCAAATTATTACAGATTAGTTCTAAAACACACATTTCTTATCAAAATCTAAATAACAAGACGAAAAGATGAAAGATAAAGCGGAGTCGAAACGCGTTAACCATTTAATTTTCCTGGTGCCTTTGATCCTTCCAATGAAGGGCAGCTCAAGAACCACACGCTTCATTGTGCCCTAGACCGTCACTACGGTGGTCCTTGGTCGAAGCAAACAGGCTTTGGGCCACCAAGCCTATTTGGTACACGTGTCCTAGCACGT